AATATATGCAGTGTATTATTTGTTGAAACTGTACTTCCGATTTGATTTGAAACTGTCTCATTGCTATATGTTTTTCAATAAAACTGTAGAAAAAAAATAAAAAAAATAAAAAAAAATAAAAAAACTACTCAACCACTGAAAGAAATTGTAGAATACTGGAAAAAATACAAATATATCTGCGTACTGTTTCTTAAGTATTCACACTACTCAAACGATAATTACATTCAGGAAATCCTTATTAAAATCCTATTGACTTTTTGCATGAATAAAAGAGTTCTAAAATTCATAAGAATGAAAAAGCACTGACTATCCAAAATAATCTTCAAGAACAGTTGTAGTTTTTATCTTGGCCCACTAGATGGTTAGATACTTGCATCAGAATAAAATAGGAGACAGGGTAGGTAGAGAAATCCAGATTTGAGAAGACAAAGGGAGAAACTTACTGAAGCAAAATACAATCTGAGGAAAGTTTAGAAAGAGAAGCTGGACCACAGCATCTCTAAACTCCAGATGTGGTGTACCATCTTGCGAAAGAATAAGGTACAAGAGCGGAAGCTGGCATCTCAAAGGTGGCCAGGCTGATGAAATAGGTTACCAATTCTATCCTCTTCACTGGGAAGAGGAACATAGTGGGATATTTACAATCTAAGGTATCAGAAAAACTAGTAGTATATGAAGGGACTTGAAAGCCCTTAAGAATTGGAAAAAAAAAAATAGTGCCAGATACGAGCACTGAGAGTACTGAGGTCCAGGAGCTGTGTTAATGAGCAGTAACTCTGAGTGACTGGACTTCAGAGATTGAAGAGACCTGATAGAATCAGATAGACTTGGGTAGATTTTCTCATTCCTTCCAAAGCACTGAGATTCTTGTATCCACAGGTTACATTGTACACCATCCAAAATCCACTGGTAGGCACTTATATTGTATTTCCCACCATGCCCTGTAGAGGGCTGTTGAACCCTGAGGCTCTACCATGTTCATGAGGTAGAGTGTATTGGTCTATATCTAGATGCCTCCCAAAACCCTATGCTCTCATAGGCAGGGCCTATGGAAAGTGATTAGATTATGTGAGATTATAGCTGACTTGCTCTTAGGAGGAGGGTGATCAAAAGAGGCAGGTTTATGAAGGTATGGCCTAGAATTGCTAATCTCCCTACCTAGATCTTCTTACATGCTGTTTTCTTTTGGCTATGCCAGCCCTTGTTTTATGCCACCCTGCCTTGGAGTCAGCTGACTATAGACTAAAGCCTCTGGAAAGTGACCCAAAGCAAACCTGGACTCCTGCAAACTGTTGAGTATTTTGTCCCAACAAGAAGGAAAGTGACTAAGACAAGGAGTAATTCATTGGAGATAGTGACTAAAGAAAAATTGACATGATCAATGGAATAGAATTTAGGATGCAAAAAGAGCACCAGACACCTTTGACCATTTGATGTTTTTTTTTTTTTTTTTTTTTGCGGAACCAGAGATTGAACTCAGCCCCTTGCGCTTGCCTGGCAAGCTCTTATTCTACTGAGCTATCTCCCTGGCCCTTTGACTGTTTGATTTTTGATAAAGGTGCAAAAGTATACTGAGGAAAAAAAGATAGTCTTTGTTACAGATGGTGCTGGGAAAATTGATTATTTACATGCAAACAAATTAATCTCGACCCATATCTCTCACCCTTTTAAAATCAAATAAAAATGGGTCAAATAAATATAAAAGCAGGAACACTGAGTAGATAAAGTAGGTAAAATTTGTTAAATTATAGGCACAGGGAAAGACTTTCCTTACAGAATTGTGGAAGAAACAAATAGCACTATAATAAATTTAAAAAGCTTTTGCACATAAAAAGGCACCACTAACACAAGAAACAATCTAAAAATTACAAATATTTTTGCCAGCTACTCACACAGGACTAATAGCTAGAATATATTAAAGAAAAAAAGCCCTTAGCTCAATAAAAGATGGAATCTAAAAATGGACGAGGGAAATAGACATTTCTCAAAAGATATATAAATGGTCAACTGGTACATGAAAAAATGTTTAACATATTTGGCTATTAGAAAATGGAAATTAAAACAATACTGAGATACCATCTTATCCCATAAAGAATGGCTACAAATACTAGTGAAGTTGCAGGGTAAAAAGAAACTCTTCTACATTTTTAATAGGAATGTAAATCAATACAACTAATATAAAAGCCAGAATGATAATTCCTCAAAAATCTAAAACTAGAAATTGCATTTGACCCAGATATTCTCATTTTAGGCATCTTCATGAATAAGTTAAAGAAGTTTTTACATTTTACAGTCATTGTCACTATCCCTCAGAAGTTTAAATTATTTTTCCTTGATTTATTCTGTGAGGCATTCACTTTTTAGGATCATGTTGTTAATTTTCCAGGAGCTTTTTCCTTTTTGAAATTTATTCTGTTATTGATTTCTATTTTCATTGCACAGTGGGTGAGTTGAATACATGTTATGATTTCCATTCTTTTGTATTTATTTAAACAGATCTTAATGAACTAGTATGTGGTACTTTTTGGAAAATGTATTATGTGCTGCTGAAAAGCAGTTGTACTTTGTTGTAAAGGAGTGGAACACTGTAATGGTTTATATGTTGTGTCAATTTGAGAAGTTTAGAAGTTTAACTAAGTGATTAGGTAGGAGCCCAATGTCCTCACTTTCTAAGCATCCTGACCCTGTACAACAGGAGGGTACAGACATGGTGTGGAAGGGGAGCCTGTGTACAAAATAAGGAAGGAAAAGAGGCTTACTCTTATCCCCTTTTGCTCTTGTTGCTTCTGCTATCTTCTGCTGCCTTGAACTATTGCCTCTGTGCTATGCCACCCTGCCATAGAGCCAGCTGATTATGACCTGAAACCTTCACAAACCATGAGCTAAATAAACCTTTACTTCTGGTTTGTGAAGGTTTCAGGTCATAAATAAACTAAATAAACCTTAACTTTGGGTGTTGGGTGTTTTGTCTCAGCAATGAGAGAAAAGTAGTCAAAACAAATTCTCTGTATATATCCGTTAATTCCAAATGTTCATTATTTTTTTTGTTTAGTTGATCTGTCTCTTTGCAAACTTTGGGAATTTAAATCCCATACTATGATTGTGTTAATGTTTGTTTGTTTATTTATTAATGTATGTATTTGGTACAGGGTCTATAGAGCATCACTACACAGATCAGACTTGTAGTGATTCTCCTGTTTTCCCAAGCACTGAGATTACAGGCGTGCCCACGCCCAGTCTCAATTGCCATTTTAGCCTGCCCCAGGGATGGGGCTGGCACAGCACACTGGGGATCGAACCCTGGTCCCTGTGTCTGCCTAAGAAGGCACTTTAATTCATTGAGTTATCTGGCTGTCCCTGTGTTAATGTTTATTTAAACTTTTAGTTTGAGCAGTTTTTGTTACAGCACAGCTGCACAAGCACCTGCCTGGTAAATTCAAGGTTCTGAGTTTGATTCTCCATTAAAAAAAAAGAAAAGAAAAAAAAAAGATTTGTTTTATGAAGATAGATGCGCTGGTATTTGATGTATATATGTTGAATTGATGTTATCTCTTCTACCTGGATTTTTTCTTTAACTAGTATGTAGTGACATACTTTGACTCTTCCAATCTGGAAGTGTCAATTGATACTCCTGATATTCTCAGGGTCCTGGCACATGAAATGTTGTTTTCTATTCATTCATGTTTAGTCTGTGAATATCTTCTTGGATGAGATGAGTTTCATGAATGCATAGTGACTATACTAATTTACATTCCCAAACCACAATATAGAAAAGTCTTTTTCTCCCACTTTCTTGCTAACACTTCTTGTACTTTTGATGGCAATTCTGACTGGATGAGTTGGATTCTCAGTGTAGTTTTGATTTACATCAAACTAATAGCTAAAGATGGAGGAGTTTTTTTTTTTCATATAGATAGTAGGCATTTGTACTTTTGAGAAGTATCATTTCAGTTCCTTTGCTATTTTGTTGAAAAAATTATTATATTCTTTTTAAAATTCTTTATGTATGCTGAATATTAATCTGTCAGAAGAATAGCTGCCAAAGATTTTCTTTTATCACTTTGCTTAGTGTTTTGTTTGCTGTGAAGAAGATTTTAAATTTTATATTACTTCATTTTGCTCCTGAGATAGTGGATTCCTATTTCAGCAGAGCCATATCTATATAATGAAGTATGTCCCCTAAATATCTTCAAGCAATTTCAAAGTATCAGTCTTAAATTTAGGTTTTTTGATCCATTTTAGTTGCTTTTTAGCAGAGGATGTGAAATAGGGATCTAGTTTTAGTCTTCTGCATATGGATGCCCAGTTTTTTTTTTTTTTTTTTTTTTTTTTTTTTTGGTGGTACTGGGGATTAAACTCAGGGCCCTGCGCTTGCCAGGCAAACACTTATTCTACTGAACCATCTCCCCAGCCCTGCCCAGTTTTTGTTGAATCATTTTTTTTTAAGAGACTGTCTTTTCTATAGTATATGTTTGCATCACTCATCTCAACAATGAGATGGCTGTACTTCATGGGTGTATATCTGAGTTCTTTATTGTATTTAGATTGTTTTATGAGTCTTTTTTTGGTAGTACCTTGATGCTTTGATTGCTATGGCTTTGTCCTATAATTTTAAAATGAGTATAGTGACACTGCAGCATTATTCTTTTTCCTTATGCTTCTGTATGAATTTTATGAGTTTTTTTTCCATTTTGTGAAGAATGTTGTGCTTTTCTTTCCTGGGAATTGCAGTGAATCTTTGGATTGCTTTCAGGAATATGACTAAGTGAACAATATTAATAATGCTGTTATGTGAACACAGGAGGTCTTCTAAGAGCTTCAATTGCTTTATTTTTTGTTAATTTTTTAATGTAGAGGTGTCTTAGGTTAGGTTCATTACTAATTACTATATATTATTGAAAATATCAAGAATGAAATATTTTCTGATTTTTTTCAGCAAGCTTATAATTCGTGTGTGGAAAAATTATTAATTTTTTTTTGCTGGTTTTATATCATGCTACTTTTCTGAACTTGTTTATTAACTTAAAATTTTCTAGTGAATGTTGTTAGAGTTTTGCAAGTATAGGATAATATTTACAAGTATATATAATATTTCTTTCTTTCCTATTTTCTATCACTCTGATGCCTCACAGTTCTTTTTTCCTGGATTATATTTAAATGTTATGTTAAAGAAAAATATGAGAGCTAATGTTCTTGTTATGCTTCTGATTTAAGACAAAATGCTTTCAGCTTTCCCTCTTTCAATATGATGTTGGATATGATTTTTGTTGTGCACAATCTTTATTATGTTGGGGGAAGAAACTAGGTAAAAATTCTATGGTGCCTTTGGAAATTTTATCATGAAAGGATGTTGAGGTTTTTTTTATTTTTATTTTTTTTCTTTTCAAAGTTTTATTGATAAACATATAGCAATGAGACAGTTTCAAATCAAATCGAAAGTACAGTTTCAACAAAT